GAGTGAGGTGTGAGGAGTGAGGTGTGAGGAGTGAGAAGTTCTACTACGTTTTTCATTATTCAATTCGCCATTTTCTATTCGCTTATTCGCTTTTGAACTGATTGTGCATTATCGAATCCACTTTTGGTGCCATACTCTATTCGCTTTTGAACTGCTTGTTCACTATTCAATGCGCCGACTACTGGCGTTGAGTGCGCCTGGCAGGTATTATCGAGACAGTTTCTGAGTACCGTGTGAAAAATTGCGACTAGAGCCCGGAACTCGTCCCACTTGGCTACAGCTGAAGAGACTGAACAAAGACGCACTTCCGTTGTCCATCATTTGATTTGAGTGGTAGTTGGTAGCTTTCTCTTCTTGTTCATCTTCGGCTCATGAAGGGTGATGGGAACTTTCAATCCATGACATCATTCAGATTTTCGGAAACATACTTGCAACACATAATGTCGGGTCCTATAGTTGATCTACTGATAAGGAACGACAAATCAGCTGCTCTTGAAGCGCTTCGAAATCTGTGGAGCTACCGTTTATTGGAGGTAGATGCAAAATTGGAGGGTATGTAGTCTGTTTCATGATCAAGCTACAGACGTCGTGCATTTGTAGACGTTGCATCTCGAGAGCTGCGATCTAAGTGATCAGGACCTCGAAAGCATTCGTCCGGGCTCCACTTGCGTCAAATATGTCTGCCTTCGCAATAACCAGCTGGTTCACCCTTGGTCGACATTAGCGAAAAATTTCTTAGCTCTCAATTATCTGGACTGCAGAGAGAACAGGTGCTTTGATGTTTCCACAACACTCACCTATTTTGCCTGAGCGAGTGCTGTTCAGGTGGTTGACAATGGATCTGAGCGCCATGAAAGGATTACAGCTCGCTCCACATGGAGCACTTGTTTTTGAGTACGCCTGTGTCACAGTATGCGTTTTGGAACTATCACCTTGAAATTGCATCCGATAACATATGCTTGTTCAGGTGTGCGGCTGAGATTTTTTTAGGATTTTGGAAAACATTCCCAAAATTTTCCGATATTCACTATTTTTTGCTTTCTTTCTTTCCCTTCATAACCGCTCACACTGAGGGAATTGGAATCGAGTTCGAATAATTTCCACAACATTCTCTCAGGAAATGGCTTGTGATAACAATCGTGTTGTCGGATGAATGAAACACTTACCAAATTCTTGATTCATTGCTGTATGGGTGCGTAACCGCAAGTATTTCATAGCCCAACTGTGATGTCAGTCGACGTCTGTTCGATTGATTGTGAAAGACTTAACTAGGTATAGGTGTTTCTATGAGCCGAAAGCGGACTATTGACGCCCCTTCTTGTTCACGCGACGCCGACGAAGAGCTCCGGAGCCGTTAGTGAAGATGAGAGAACCGCTAGAAAAAGTCAATCATTGAGAGCGATGGCTGCTTAGTCCCCCGTAGAACAATTTTTCTTTAGTTTTGATCATTAATAATGGCCTGATACTTAACCTCGATTATTCAGCACCAGTCGTGGCCCTAGCCCGTCAGCTCGCTGAATTGAATGCTGAACAAGTTGCGAATTCGGAAAGGAAGGCGGTCGAAGAGGCTCTGGTCGTGGAATTGGGAAGACTAGAGGCTGAACACCGAGAAGAAGTTGAAGAGGCTGCGGATGAAGTCCGGGAAGAACATGTGGTTGCTCTTCCATTCAACTCAAGGATTTCTACTCCGCATCCGAGTGAGTGAGATTCTTGTACATGCTGTGCACATGCAGTCGATTCTCAAGTCATGTCTCGAAAAAATGAATCTTTCCAGCGTTCCAACAATCGGTGATTTATGCTGCTGTCTTCAAATTACATTTTGGGGTGAGCGAAAAGATGGCTGGTTTTCTGGACGATTTTCTTGCCATGAAAGGTGTGTTCCTTCCTGAGCCGGTCAGTCATGCTTTGCTTAGGTTTTCTTTCTTTGCTTTTAGGTTTCTAAGATTATGTGTGATTCAACACATTGACGACAGCATGACGCACATGCGCGTCGCTTTCTTGTGCGAATGGGCATCGTTTTGTTGACTCACTTAGCATTCGTATTAGAACCTTGTCCGTCCACATTAATTGAACCCAGAAAACACTCCAGTACTTGCCATTAACGAAATTGTTGAAGGATTAGTGCTGATTTTGAAGAAATTCAAGAAAAAAATGCTGGGAACATTTTTTTCTTGGATTTCTAACTAGTAGTCGTAAGAATGTAAAGAATGTAACAACTCCCCCGCGCGACTACGCGGAGAAGCTCTTACATTTAGTAGGAGAGGGTCAGCTATGAGCGGAACGGCAACGTCACAAGACGTTTCGATATGCTTCAAGGCCTTTGATAACG